CGGATGTTTTGATTGACAATTTACCTTATGGGGGCTATCATAGAGAGAGATTCAACATGTCATAGATCCTAGGCCGAGATTTTTTCTTCTTAGTCAACTTGTCTTTGCGATGCGACCACCCAAGTATGAGAAATTGCAAAAATATATTACACATGTGATGGTTAAAGGCTTGGTTTGTCATAGTAGCCCAGATGCAGCTTCAGTTTTGATCGTGCTGAAGAATGATGGTTATTTATTATACCAAGATAGACTTTGGAAGGACATGTGTTTTAGAGTTGCCTGAAATGGATGTTAGCATAGATTTTATAGTGAGACTGTCTCAGGCAAAGCAATTAAATACTTTATTATGGTGGTGATAGATCGATTTCAGAAGTTTCTAGAGAAAAGAATCTATGCTAACTGGGAGAATGACGCGGGAGTTGAAGTTCCGTAAAAACCCATAGAATTCTATAGTATTATGAGTTTCTATGATTCCCGTGATTGTGAGACAAGCTGGGCACGAGTTCCGCCCCTGAAATCCTGTCAACGGTATTTTATGCTCCGTTATCAAATTCAACATTTTTTTTCTTTTTCTAGCATCATTTTCTTTTTTCTTTCTAATTAAGTTTATTTCTATATGGGTGACTATTTATGTGTTTGTTTTTTTTTTAGAGAACTTTTGTTATTGTTATTGTGTTTGGAGATTTTATGATCTGTTTTATGCTCTCTGGAAAGTTGTATCATTTTCCTTTTGTAAGTGGTGTATTTGTATCTTGCTCGGGAACAGATGGTAGATCCCCCTAACTGCCCATACATTCTCGTTATTGGTCAACTGCTATTTTCTGCTCAACAATTATCAAACTTGATGCAACTTATTGTTTGGCAGCATCATATTGCTATTTTTTGCTTCCGATTTGTTGTCTTGTCACTGGCCACACTGACAGCATAATATCGTTGTTTTTTCGTTCGACATCTTTCCTCGTGCTTTCCTTACCCATCATATAACATACATATCCCTTTATTGTGTTCTTTCACACATTCTAAGATTTTAGAATGTTGTATAAAAGGAATACTGATATCGGAGGAAAGCCCAAACTGCAACGAAATACTAATAATATTGTTAATTCCAACAATTACAAATAAATACTCTCCTCATAGAAACAAACAACACCAAAAATAGCAACACAATCTTAAAAATATAATATATAGACTCTAATTAGAGCTACGACTGTGGTGAGGATGTTGGTGACAACATGGCAGCCTGTTGGGAGGTGTTGGTGATGGCCGACGACCAGTCGGAAGGAAGCTGGAGGAAGGGAAATCTGCTAGGATGTGTTAGAGATGGTGGACAACGACCTGGAAGAAGTTGGTGGGGGTCAAGACAACCCCAAAAGTGTGGACAACGACCTAGAAGAAGTCGGTGGGGGTCAGGACAACCCCGGAAGTGTGGAGGACAACCTGAAAGATGTCACTAGTGGTCGGGACATCACCCAACAGAATAAACAACAACTTGAAGGGTGTGGGATGGGATGGCAACAACGGGATAGCTGCTACAGGCAGCAAACACCAGCATGGATGGTGATTGGGTTGGTCGGTGGGAGGCATGGACAACATGTAGGTGGTTGGAAGGCTGGTGCGACAGTGGAGAATATAGTTTGCGGTTGCTGGAAGTGGGGGACGGAGGGGGGTTGTGGAAAGATACATATCTCATCGGGGTCGAGCTACAACCGGAGCACCACCTGGACACTTGGAGACGGTCGCCATTTTAGATGAGTTACAGTTGGAGCACCTTCTCGCCGTTGGATACAACCCCCAGAGGGGAAAAATGCCTCAAAGTCAGCACTCATAAAAAACGGTCACAACCTTAGAAAACTACATGTATATACATAAGAGAGAGTTAATAGATAGATTAGGCAAGTAGAAGAATAGAAAATAAATAAAGAAGGGGTGATGGGAAAGGAATGAATTTGAAATTGGGATAGAAGTGGAAGGTGATAGATAAGGTAGGGAATCCAATAGGAAAGAGAGACCCGTTGTTGCAGCAACAACTACAATAACACATCTTCGGTACTGTAACGATTACAGTACCGCGTCCACGATAAGCTCCCCCGTCAAATACATAATAAGATATTAATTTATTTCAAATGCAGTGTTTGTTTCATTTTCAATATATTTTAAATTTGTCATATTTAGGCGAATACATACTACACGACAACGTCAGACCGGTGCTCACCAACTACCTTCTATCGCATGTCGCTGGCCGCGGCTATTGCTTGCATGTTATGATCACCGACCACAATTATCCACCATAGCATGCACGTTGTCGTTGTCTGCTGCACACTGTCTCCGACAAGCCCGCCTTTTGACGCTCGTTGCCTGCCACTGTTTATCGTTGCACGCCTTCGCCAACGGCTGCCTGCTGATGCTGTCATCGTTGATTGTCATTGCAGTTGACGACCTTATTTTACATTGATTTTATTTTTCTTCAATACAAACACACAAATGTAAAGTCATGCATTTATTGTTTATTGAACCAAGTAACTCTAAAGATTATATTAGAGGGAGAATGAAAGTAAAACTTTTGAAGATCAGATGATATAGGATAGTTAAGGTCTTTAATTACTATTGCAATTTAGGGTGAGATGTACCATGACAACACAAAAAGATCACAATACTTGGGTGTTGCCAACTTTTAATTTTAGCAAAAAAGTTAGTCGATTTCAATGTAAAAAACTAGTAGCAATTAATAATGAAATCATTACCTAAATTCAAAATTAATATAAAGTGTACTAATTTAAAATTGCCTGTGATAATTAGGTTAATGCTTTAAAAATAATGAAAAATTTCACATTTGACCAAAGTGTACTCATGCATAAAAAAAACGATTAAACAAGTTAAAACAATAATAATGTTTTTTTGGGAGTCGTATCCGACATAAATTGAACGCGGGGCTTTTAGGTTGGAGAGATAAGCCTCTGCCATCGGAGCTCCGCATTTCAACTGAAATAACAATATTTTTAATCATTTGAAGGTTGAACTAGGCTTCATGCAGTTTCAAGAAGCTTGCCTTGAAAGTAGTCATCCATGCTTGTGACAGACTTAAGAAAATACATTCAACAACAATAACATAGGAAAATTGAATTTTTTTTTAATACTTAATTTTTAAGTAGTTTCCACATACCTGGAAGTTTTATTTAGATAATTGGCTCATGAGCTTAGCTTGATGAACCAACAAGCTAAGCTTTAGCCAGCCCTGGCTCGACTCGCTAGCTCATGAGCTGGCTTGTTTAAGAAAATATTAATATAAAATACATTGCAAAATATATTAAAATTTAATGTTTTATCTTTAAATTATTAAAAACGCGTCAAAAATGATATCTTACATTTAACATTGATTGATTTTTTATCATTTATCTCTTAATTGCTCATTCTATTTGTCATTTTATTATAAAACTAGCTAAGAATAAACATTGATTTCTCTCTTTCATATTAATATAGTTGGCTCACTAGTTGACTCGAACTCATAGAATTAAGCTCAAGCTTGAGTCAAGGGTGGCTTGAGCTTGTTCTTACTCATATACCCTTTTAGTGGCAACCATAAGATAGTCAGAACAGTGAAATCAGGGTAGCCATTGAACTTGACTAGCAGTGAGGACTGGAACGGTGCAACAGTGGGAACAAACTAATTTATAGAAACAAGGATATTAGTGGAAAGTGTAATGATTTGAGCTTCATATGTGCTGATATAGAACTCAATAAGTTAAATCAAAATCTTGCAATAATAAACAAATCATAATAGAATACTTCAGAATACTAGAAAATACTTCCCATTCATATAGGAGCTGTGTCATTATAGGAATATTTTTACACTGGAAATGAACTAGGAAACAAAAAAGTAAGAATCAATATACATGGATTGCATTCTCGATGAGAAAACCATCCTTTGATTGTTCGTGCATTTAGATAGAGGTTTAGAGGATGAACCAGTTAGTTGTGTATAGGAAATTAATGCTGAAGTATTATGAAGGATGATAAATAGATCAATGATTACATAGCTAGATGTTGTGCTAAAAAAATGCAGAAAATAGGATTGGCACATTGTACAACACTTAATGGTAATGAATGGAGAATATGGATTTAGAAAAGGAATACCAAAAAATTTCGCTTTTGCTATGTTGATGATAAATTGTTAGTTTCAGCCTCTCTCCAAAAGATGACTCTATTTGAACTGAGACAACAAAAAATAAATAAATAAAATAAAAAATCCCTGGACTTTGATCAGAAATAGGGGTCTCTAATCATTTATTTTACATGCCTCTCCCTATTTATACTATTTTGTTGAACCTTAACATATTGTATGGATTCAAGGATTAACATATTGATTGCTAAGTTTTCAATGTACATGAATCTTGAGCTCTCATTATCATATGAATTTGAATTTCATTTGCTTTGTTATGGTTTAGCTTTTATGTTTGATCAAACTTCTTCATTCTAAGTATTATCAATGTTTCTTTCTGGATAAATCTTGTTCCATATGGTTTAAACTCTTGCTCCAGTCAACATTAGAAAAACTCTAATAGTGCGGTATTTGATGTTGATAGATTATTTTAAGAGTTGATTGGATCATGACCATTCTTTATTGTTAAATGTTCAACTACCATGATATTATCTCACATAGAAATCTCTAGATAATGTATTACAGGTGGACGGTTTTTATCCCAATGCCTATATTGGTGGATCACTATCAAAAAGTGACCATTTATACCATTTGTGTCAGTACTTGTTGGCATTTGGTGATCCTTGTGGAAATAAATTTGTAGGCGCAGCTCTGTTTTAGGCTTCTCCTCTCATTTAGTAGTTATTCATGTGGAGGTATAATTCATTCAAGTAGTTGATGTTATAGAAATTGGATTTTACATAAGATGGGTTTGAATCTTTATTTTGCTTTCATTCAGGATTATATTCCTTTCATTTAAATTTTGACTTTATTGGTCTAATTATTATGTCGCAATTCTTGGCAGCCTACAATCTCTGGAGAGATTCAATCACCGTTGGGTATGGCTACCGTTGAATTTATTGATCCAAGGGAGCCTGTGATGGTTTGTCTTTTATTCAACTTTCTTTTTTGCAAGTTTTCATTAAATACCATCATAGGAGTCTGTTCCATTGTAATGTGGTCGAGTACTATACTTTTTAACACATGTAAAGCTATATTAGATGAACCACTTTGGACACTTGTAAGAGGTTTTATGATTCATTTTTTACTGGCCATGCACTTATACATGATTTTTTTAACTTGGCAGATTGTTCCCATTTTGAGAGCTGGTCTTGCTCTTGCAGAGCATGCTTCATCAGTCCTTCCCGCAACAAAAACTTACCATCTGGGTGAGGGGAGGCTGTCTCAATCTTTCTCTATTTTATATCTTTTTATTCCACTTTAGAAATTGGGAATATCTATGAAACGTGCCCAGATGTAACTTAGTTATTTTAACATATAGTTCTTCATTCAAAACGTTAGCATTTTTCAAGAATGATTTGACCTGTGAAATATTAACCTTATGTAGAATAAAAAATTATCTTTGGTCAACCTAATTTCTTGATCATTCTTAAATGTTCAAACCACAAATTGCCACCTGCAACTTTGTGTGTGGAACTGATGGATGTTTAGCAGCTCTCTATATATTTATATAGACCGTAAGTATAGTTATATTTACAAGAGTGGTTTATGATCTCAACTGATTTTTATGATTTTTATAAATGTTTATCCTACTTGATTGTATTTCCATTGAAAACGATGATAAAGGTTCCTTCTTTTGAAAAGGCATGCGCAGGGATGAGAAAACACTCCAACCTACTATATATTTGAACAAGTAAGAGCGTTGTTTCTATTTTTTCATTTATTCATCTAATGTTCATTGAAAAGGAAAAGTATTTGACTTAGGTTTAACTTTGTCACATTTATTGTGGTGCCATATTAAAGATATTTTCAAATATACTCTGTAGAAGCTGGTAGCATTAAAAATGTGAATGTTTGATTGGAAGTAATCGTTTTATTTTGAGTTGTAGATTGTATGCTATTGACTTTTTTTATTATTATGTTTGGACTCTTTTCCTTTATCTATGGTTTAGGATTAAGTGTAAATGTTTTAATTCCATTTGGATTATTAATTAGCAAGCTTGTCTTTGACATACTAATTTTTTTGCTCCTTTTCATTGCTTTAAGATTCCTAGTCTAATGAGTTTCTCGCCCCTAGTATATTGATCCACATCCACAGGATTGCATCACCCATCTTCAACCAATTACTAGTATTAGAGCCGCTGATTACACTTAGGACAAATTGGACTCTTGTATACAATTCTAGGCTGGTGGTTACAAGCACTACTCAGCAATGGTGTGCTTCAAGTGCTAGATCATTTTGGAAATTTGTTGGAGCAGAGCTGGAGCATTATTGAATGTGGATTTTAGGCGTGAATTATGTAAAATACAAATACTTAATCTTTCATCCAGCAATTAATTTATTTTACTAGTTGGCCCTAGTTTGTTATATTCATGTCCGGGCAACTGGGTTTTGGCTCCAATCAAGTTATCTCATCAAGCATATTTTCTTGCTAATTTTAACATGATTTTTTTTTTTTTTTTTTTGGTGGAAAAGTTGTAAATGAGAATGAGAATTCTCTCGTTCATATATATTTTTTAAGAGATTTAAATTTCTCAAATGTACCTTCCTTGAAAATTTATGTTTTCTTTTTTATTTGTTGTACTCAATCTATGACGTGCATCTTGGGCATGCTATAAGATATGAGAAACTTCATGGATTTGGGCATATGGAAATCATGAAAGTACAATCTGATACATAGATGAATCTCTATTGATCATTCTAGATCCAATAGTTTTGAACTACTTAGCTTATCTATCCCTATTTGTTTGATATTTTCTGTATTATATGTCGATCATGCATAGGGCAGTGAAATTATTCAGGTGTGGAGTGATCATAGCTCTCACACGAAAATTTATATAGGATTTTAATGGGTTTTAAAACTCCTCGCTAGCTTTGATTTGTTCACATGTCATGGCGATCGCACATAAGATAATGAAATGATCATGTGCGGTGTGATCATATTTTAGAATAGCCGGGCGAGTTTCTGTATAGGGTTCAAATGGGCTTGCCAAACTTGCTATATGGATGGATGGCAGAATGGAATGTGCTATAAAAATTGTGCCCTTCAATGGATCTATCGATATGGAATTTATCATAACATCCCAGCTTGTTTTGATTTTTAGTCACTATATCTGTCGATCATGCATCAGGTAAAGGAGAGGTCATTTTTGGCCTGATCTTATTTAATATATACAGCAGGAAATGTATTTTATTATTATTTTTTTTAGGTTTGCAATGATATTGCCATAATTTTATGAGCTTAAGCTTCCTTTGACTTCTACATCTTTTTTTATCCTTATACTCTTGGAAGCACTATTTTGGTTCTCAAATGTTCATGTTATCTCCGTTCATTTTGGAAATGACTGACGTTTTCAAAAGATTTTGGTTAATCATGTGCTTCATTGCATTTTTATTTATCAAATTTCTTCCTAACTGGATTTTGTCCACTTTCACATTTGTCATGACACGCATTGATTATGCCTATATTTTTAGGCTTTTTAACCACCGGTGTTATCTTAAGTATCCCCAGGTTCTTCTGTCAAAATTAGTATACCCCTCAATTTTTTTGTGTTGGCTTTGGGGAACTTCGAAAATGTTTGTTCATTTAAGATCTTCATTTGGAGTTTGATTCTAGCTCACAAAAAATCTCATCTTAGAAGTTTAAAGAAACTCTTAAGATAATAGTATTTGGTTAATATTTTTGAATGCTAGAAAATTGAATAGTATTTGGTGAATATTTTTGAATGCTAGAAATTTGAAAAACTTCAATTTATTCTGTGGCGAATTTAAACTTCAAAGATTGCTTGTTTTGTAAAATTAAGTGGACTTAGTGACCGGAACTTTTGGAAACATTTTTGGTGATCCATGGGACAGTGAAGGACTTGAGTAGAAAGTATATTCTATTTAGAATGAGTTAAAGTTGTGATTTACTTGATCTTGTACTTGTCCGTTGGACAAGTATTGTGTGAATTTAATTTTGGCTACGCACTCATTCGCTTTCCAGAAATGATTTTCTTTTCTGCAAAATAAGGTGACATGGTGTTTTTGGTTCAAGTCGGCCTGTTGATTATAGTTGATTCTTTCTCATATATTTGCTCTTTGTGACAGAAAAAATGAATTTAATTGTCACATTTGACTATTGCAGTTTGCCCGAAAAGTTTCCTGAAGATTCTCGTGTTCTTGTTGTGGATCCCATGCTAGCGACTGGTATTCTGTTTACTTATTTATCCATGTTTTATGTTCTATATTAATCTAGATATGTGTAATTTCCTTCATGAATTTCTAAGATTACCCAATAGAATCTAATATAATTTCTAATAATTAAAAATGGTTATGAAAATTGTTCTTGTTACAGGAAGAATTCTAATAGAAAAATTAAGTTCTTACATAGAATGAATTATGACCCTGAATGTCATATCTTTTATCCCATTCCGTTAACTAGAATAAGCCAAAAATTTAGTTTATTTGCAGAAAATAAGAATGGTGTTTTGGTTTATGACAATAGAGAATGTTCAATATCCAGTAAATGTTTAGTTGATGCATTGCATGGAGTAATGGAGTAGTTCCATTCGGATCTTCAAATCTTTTCGGTTTTGTCTTGTCTACCAGTGTTTGATTTGGTCATGTGGTGCATTGCTGTAGAAAATGTGTTTTATTAATTGGCTGGTCGTTACACTAATAAATCTTGATTTTTTGACTTGCGATACTTAGAAGGGTTTCTTGATAACCTTTGTTTAAGCGTTTGTTATCCCTGTATTGTGTCTTCTGATCTGATTTTAATTACTAAAATGATTAGATTTTTTTTTTTTTTTTTAAAGAAGTTGGACAGAATTTTCTTCTGATAATTACTAAAATGATTAGATATGATTAGATTTTTTTTTTTTTTTTAAAGAAGTTGGACAGAATTTTCTTCTGATTGTAATTTATTTTGTGCTTGGTAAAGGTTGGCATGCATAGACATTCAAATTACAAGAATATATATGGTCTAGCATGCCAAATATAAATTTCTCTCGGACATGGCACAATATTGTGCTGGACACTGGCACGGATTGTCGAAACCCCTAGAATTGGTTTCTAAAATGCAAGCTCAACATGACAACTACATGACTCATGATTTTCCCCCTTTTTTGGAGTCATTTGAATATAGGAATATCATCTATTATATTTAGGGTTGTAAATGAGCCGAGCTTGAGCGAGCTCGGGCTAGGCTCATGTTTGGCTTGCTCGAAATTGCTCGTGTTTCGTGTTCGAAATTGACTCGTGAACAGTGTGTTTGTATTCGGCTCAATTTAAATATTCTTGTTCGTGTTTGACTCAAAAGTGGCTCGTTAAAATTAATTGAAAAAGATAGATCTAGTGTTGAATTTGAACCTGAACCAAATCTATGCAAAAGAAGACACATAACCACATTACCACACGAACTATTATGATTTAAATTTAGATATAAATAATCTATATAATATATTATTATATAAATAATTATATGATTTTTTTTTATTTCAAGCTAAAACGAGCCGAACACAAGTGAACAAAGAGCTGTTTGTGTTCAGTTCGTTTATAATTCGAGCTTAAAAAATTATTCGTGTTCGGCTCATTTACTTAACAAACGAGCCGAACATGAGCTACTTAATAAGCCGACATGAGCTACTTAATGAGCCGAACATGAGCTTTTCGCAAAAAATGAGCTTTTCTTGCAGCCCTAATTATATTAGTCATTTGGAATACTGTTTTCAATTTGTTTTAAGATATAAGATTCTTATGTTGAAATTATTTTTAATATATGTTAAAAGTAGATATATTTGTTCAAGATTTAGGCAAAGGCTAACGAAGATAATGCATCAGGTGTAAACCTATTATTACTAAATCCCTTTTTCTGCCATCTTATGGGCGTTCTTTTTTATGTTTTCATACCATATAAATTCATTTCTTATCATATTATCTTAAATAGGTGCTTTTCCAGTTGTTCTTATAATATAATAATTTCTTAATGTGTACTTTCTTGCTGTTGTACATTCATTCTCAAAATTATCTTTTTTTTTCATGGTCAATTTAGTTATTAGTGACTATTACACACTCAAGTCTATAGAATGTAGTTGATAATTGCAGCTTTATAATACTTATCTTTTAGTTTGTGATATTCTTTCATCATGTAGTGTTGATCATTGATGTAATTTTATTTTTATTAAAAACTCTTTGATCATCATTAATTCTTTTAATACTGGCAAATAATGCATTATTCATAAATTTAACAGTTTGGAGCTGTCATTGGGCAATATACATCCATAGCACTCAAAACATTGCTATTTACAAAACTAGCATCCCCTTTCATCTATTTTTTCAATTCCTGTTCAAATAAATTCACGATAAAACCACAACCAATATTTTTTATTTTATCAAATTTCTAAAATAAATTAAATATATTAGCACACAATAGTTTGCCTTCCAAATATCAATAAAATAACTCTATGAAGATCTATTTTACTAGCACAAAAATTTCTTTCAGTGTGAGCCTTTTTTTTTTATATACAACCAAATGTGTTCTTTGATGTGACATAATTTTTCTTATTTTTTTATTTTTTCTTAAATATTGGTATAAAATTACTTCTTCAATCATTCGACCTCCTTGTAGTCTTCAATAATTTGTTTTTTTTTTAAAAAAAATCAAACCACTACAGTATCTTTTAAAGCTCTTCAAATTTTGATAATGACCCGAGTTTTTGTCTATATTTATCTACATTTGAGGTAGCAATGCTTCACTTTTATTGTCTAATATATGTTATATCTCATTATTATGTTTATTATACTCTTTTAAGATTATTTATTGTTTAAAATTCTTATTTAATAATTTTTAAAATTAGAATTTCTCTTGATATATTTTAACTTAAAATCTTATTATCTTCATTTCTAATGTATTTAGCTAATCAAAGTTCCTAGATCTCTTAACTTATATTTTATTCACTTACTCTCTATCTTTTGAACGTAGCTTATAATATAAGTCATCAAAAGTTGTAGCTTTTACTTTGCTTCTTATTTCTTTTTAAGACTTTTGACTTCATGTTCATTACAAGTGTCAATAGTATTTTTTTCCTGCCACTTTTGAAAAGCATTTTTGATAACCTATTATAAATTCAGTCTCTATTTCCAGGCTTTCTGTACGTGTATTATCAATTTCTAAATTCTTCCAAAATTTTATGACAAACTTTTTGATGGAGGAACCATCTTACCCGTTATAACTGTCTTAACAAATATTTTACTGCTGTATCTCTCGTAAACTTTTTGTTGTCGAGGCAGATGGCCATTGGAATGAATAAACTTTGTTTCTTTACATTGTACATAATCAAACATGCATTGTAGTATAATAAACAGAATTTTCGTAGTAAATAAAAGGTCATTGCACATTATCATCTTGATAGCCAAATAAATCATTTTTCATGTTCAAACTACAAATTATACTAGCACATCAATTCCTCAGCTTTTTAGATTTTCATTTGACAGATCAAAAGAAGAATAATATAACAATTATAATAATGTATTGGGTTTAATACTGTTATTTTCTACCCATAGTCAGTCTTTAATACAAAAATATTTTCTTTTAACATGTAGAAAAGTAACATTTGTTTTAGCTATTGTATGCTGAAACAATTCTTTTGAGCAGTTACAAATATGTTGGAAGGAATACAACATCAAATGCATAATTTTTTTAAAAACACCCATAACTTTCTGTTTGTTTTGAGTTTTAAACCGCTACCATATTTCTACTTGAGAAACTATTTTATTAATGTTTTCTAAAAATGCTTGTGGTGGAAAGTTATTTTTTTTTTAACCAGATTGGTTGGAGAGTCGTGGCTATAAGAAAATTGCTATTTGATTTTTTAAAAATATTAATCTTTATGATTCCCAATGCAATTTTCCAAGAAATTTTTTTCTCCGCCAAAGCATATCTAAAAACTTGAGGCCACCCCTAATGAACAATTCGTTTCTATATGTAATTGGACAGTTTTAAATTTGTTTTTTCCATTTATTATGAAAGAAAGAGCTTTACCCATTACTCATCCTTCATCCAAACTCCATCACAGGTGGCACAATAGTGAAAGCTCTTGACTTGCTGACAGAGCGTGGGCTAAACAACAAGCAAATAAAAATCGTATGCTCATTCAAACGTTCAACGATTTTTTTATCCATTTCATGCTCCCATTACTAAATTGTTAGCAACTGCTGCAGATATCTGCTGTTGCTTCCCCTCCTGCTCTTCAGAAGCTCAGCACTAAGTTTCCAGGGTAAGCTTTTATACGAACCGCTTATGTTATTTTCATATTTATTCCATCAAGTTCTGTGAAACTGAGTGCTGGTTTAATTTTTCAGGCTTCATGTCTACACGGGAATGATAGACCCAGTTGTTAATGAGCATGGGTATCTCGCTGATTTGATTTTAATTTTTTAAGCTATTAATGAGCCTGTTTTATTTTATCATGAAGTCCATGTATACCAAATTTTCGTGTATTATTTATCAGGTTTATAGTTCCGGGTTTGGGAGATGCTGGAGATCGCTGTTTTGGTACTTAAAATGCGGGGTCAGATAGTTTGCACTGATGATGATGGTTCATTCATATGGCTCTGCATTGGGTTTTGCGCAGCTTTTCTTCACCAATTACGGCATGTTTTTAGCTTTTCTTTTTCTTTTTTGGTTAAAAAACCATCAAATTAAATTATATGAGAGAAATTACATCTCTTGGTGATGCTTGATATTGTAGAGACATGCACAGGTTTTAAATGATTAATAACCATCTATACAGTGCTGTTTTAAAAGATTTAGAATTGGGCTTATTGTATAAAAAATGATGCTCATCTAAATATGACACTCAACAGGACATAATGGGGAAAAAGGATTGTTATAATCCACCCTATTTAAAAGAGAGAAAAGACTTCTTGTTTGGGACATTTTTTTTCCTAGCTTAGTTTTAAATTATGTGTTCTAAGTGCTGGGCTGCTTAACAAAAGATTTGGGTTTGGGGCAGGTGGGCTTGAGTGCAGTGCGAATGTCGTTAAATTTATTCATGCATGTACCCCCCCCTTTTGTTTATAGTAGTGTTGCCTGATAATATTTGCTGCACTTCTCAACCAGCAAATCTACATCAAGTTCTCATGTGCTGCTAAATAAATAAAGGGAAAGAAAATGTAAAGAGTACACATGCTGAATTAAATTCAATTAGGATAAACCCTGTACTTAAGAAATTTGCTTAATTATTCTTATGTTATGTTTAGTTTAAAATAAATTTAATGAAAATAATTAAAATTTTATTAGAATATTATTATTTTTTTAAGATCCCGCGCTACGGTCACTAGCATTTTATCATGCAGTTAACGTTTGTAACTACATAACCATTATTTTTCAATACAACATGGTATTATAATTATTTCTAGGGTTGATTACATTGCATCCGTAACATTGCCATTTAAAAATCTAAAATCCCCTTTCATCCACTCCTGAAATTCTCACCGAAATATATCTAAATTCATGATAAATCCCAACCCAATTTTTTCATTTTTTTCAAATTCTCAATTGGTTGATCTTGGCATGCAAAAATACATTGTTCTCGTAGTATAAAATTATCACGTAGTGAGTTTTGTATGTCGTAATGTTTTGGGTGTTATGTAATTATCTCTTATTTTTATATCAATAAGAATTATAAGTTGCGCTTAAAAAATTAAATACATTCTCAATTCCACCTAATCTTAAATCTTCATTTTTTAATAATAATAATAATAATAATAATAATAATAAATTTGAATTTCTAACTATTCATGACCATGGTTATAAACTACGCTAAGTATAACAATAAAATCGTACAGAAAATTATCAGCTATCAATCCTAAACAATCTTCATATTTCAAGCAAACGCTCTCAAATCGCATTACAAACAAAGGATGCATTTGGCTATAACAAAGGGGGAATATTGGAATGGCATATATTGGACAGAATAAATCTGACACTAATTGCACCCTAATTCTTCATAAAGTTTTATTTCCACAGAAACATCAAACCAACCACCTACCTTCACGAGATTCGACCCCTTTCATCGGAAAAACCTGCAGAAAAAATAATAAAACTGACTAATGATTTTTCTGAGGCATAAAAACCTTGATGGTGCTCAACAGTTAATGGATCATCATATTGTGAAGATTTTTTTTTTTTCATCAAAAGGCTTTTCAAAAACAGATGTATAAATGTAAAAGATAAAATTTAGATGTTAGACATATAAATACATAGAAATTGGGTTGGTATGTATGTAAATGCCCCCAAGATAAAAATATTTCGAAGTATATGTTGAAGTAGAGAATTTTCAATAGTATGAAAGAGGAACTGGACCTATAATTGTTGGAAATGGCATGTGGTACTTCCAACAAGCATGTAAAGACAAAATCAATATATCAACGAAGAAAATCTGTAAATAAAAAGAAAAGTTACAGCAGAGGTTAGAAACTTACAGAAGTGAAACAGTTACAACTCGCTGTAATTGCGCCACACTGCACGAAACTCCTCACGAAAGGTATTCAGACGGGCTTTCAAATTTGGTGTTCTAAAGCTGGCATGAAGTATTATTGCTGCAAATTTATACAAACACCAGAAGTTAAACACGGTAGGACACGTTGCCATGAAAGCAGAAACAGCAGAATGTGATTTATATGCGTACCTAGAAGACCAATAAGAAGTGCCCAGAGTACAGTAAGAAGGTTACAAGAAGTGAACCACAAGATGCAACTAGCTGCAAGTATGATCAGCAAACATTCAACTGCTTACAAAAAGAAATACGGAACTCTACATACCTAGCACACAATTCTTATGTATTTATATATCTCGCACCTAAAGTTTCATATTTACATGCATAGCATTTTAGTGCTTTAAGCTTATGCATGAAAAGGTGCATTTCACTTTTAAAAAATAGTAATAGTGTTATTTCACATGATATTAAAATTTTGAATGCTTTAGATGTGAGATATGTACATACATAAGAATTGTGTGCAATGAAAGAAATCTCACCATTACGCTAAAAAATGTATTCTTGTTTACCTGCAGAAAATATCAGGACAAACACCCAACGAGGGCGCCCGCATATATGAATTGCTCTTTTTGAAGATGGGCGTCCTCGAATAACCGGACTACAAGAGAGATTGACAAAAACAAACCTCAGTTCATAACATTACATGACATATATGGTAATTAAAACAATGAATGCATTTAAACACACTCACGCTATTGGTGGCCTCATTTTTGCAGCCAGTTGAGGAGAGAATCGTCTCACAGTCCTGGTTACTTTCTCGTTAAAAGTAACTGCAAAACTGTAATAGTAATCATTAGTGAAGATATCATCATATCACATGGTTCCATATTAAAATATGTAGTCAATAGCGAGTTGTTAAAGTCAACAATAATCATGAACGCTGGATCTTATAAAAAAACACTAACATATGAAGCCTCCACAAGATACAAAATTAAAAATAAACTGAAATGCACAACTATGCATATATCTCCATAAAAGTATGACTTACAGGAAAAAAGCAAGGTTCAAATTGGAAGGAATGCAACTTTAGGGGTCATTAGATGGTTGCAGTCTATTACAAATCACAAATGAATCCTGGGGCAGAGATCTCATGATGGTACACAAGCAAGTATAATCCAAAAACTAAATGAATCAAGCAGCATATTGAATAAAGGAAGGCTTTATCACAAGCAATATGCTAATTAGTACTCAAATAGTGATTTAGGGTCTGTTTGGGGCAGCTGCAGCTTATCCAGTTTATCCAGATAAGCTGTTTATTCTGATAAGCTGCTAATTAATAACTGATCCGGATAAGTTGTCTGAGTGTTTGGTTTGTGTGTTTGGAAAACAACTGATTCAGGATAAATGACTATTCTGCCCCAATTTTGGATAAGTTGTTTAGCTGTTTGGTTTGTATGTTTTGAGAACAGCTGATTTGCAGATTTTTTTAAGTAAATGAACAATCTAACACGCAGAATCTAAAATTCTCCAAATAAACCACATAATATATCACAAAATCTTCCAACTAACACTAAAATGGTTCTAGAGTCCTTGGTGAGTTAGTTTACAATTTGTAATAGCTAATAAAGTCCGCCAACTATGCAGAACCACATAAGCCAAAAAATACTTTTTGGATACAAATTTAAGCCATAAAATACTTTTTTGATACATGCAAACAATTAGCAATTATAAAACGGAGCAATTATTAAACAATTAGCCAGAAAATACTTTTTGGAAAGTTTGTAAGTGATTTTCATTGTTTACTTTCAAACTTGTAATTCGTGATTGGTTACTTCTTAGATGAATTCTTTTTATTAACCTACAAGCAATAATCATTGGAAAACATACATTTGAAAATCAAATCCTTTATTATAGAAGAGGAAAGAGGTAAAATGGGGGGATAATGAGAAAGGAAAGCCATCTTTTTAGAAAGTTATATAAATCACAAACCTTAACATTCTACCCGATTACACATTTTGTAACATATTTTTCATCCTCAACCAAACATTACCTCTGGGAACAACATTGTAAGCTTACCTACGCTCATGGAAAAGAGTAGTATAAAAGAAAAAGAAATGAATTCTGCCAAATATGCAAGTTCTACAAATTTTTTGATTTTTTTTTTTGTGCTCTCAAGAACAGAAGTAGTTGACCTCAAAAAATTTGGAGTATAACCATCTTCTGAAAGGTATAGCCCAAATATGTAACTTCAACAAATTATCCTAACTCCCATAAGCCTCCAATTCACAAGTATAAGTTGCTTTAATTTGATATCGAGATGAACAAATCCATACAACGCTTCAACCAGATTTTTGTCATTTTTATACTGCTAAAATCAGATCAGCACCTTCCAAAATTGTTTTGGATCTCACAATTCACCATTAATCCATCAGCAAGTTAAAAAGTAATATTAGAGACAACAAATACTTTTTTTTTCACCAAATAAAAGACAAAATGACAAATTATTAAAAAAAGATGTCTGTAGCACGCAAGGTACAGCTGATTAGGCAACAAAATGATAAAGCTTTAACCTTCCTTCATCATTTTATTGTAACAGAAGGAACTGATGTCTATAAACCCGAGAACAAATTCAACATTTATACCAAAATTTTTTGCCCTACAATTCAACATTTATACAATGAGACAATTAAGATTAGAACTAGCTAAGAAAGCAAAAACAAATTGTCGCATACAAGGACCTACCATTGAAAAAATTAACAAATTGCCGCATACAACGGGAAGGTGGCAGTAATGCGGTTTATTGAAGTTTCTTGCTCCTGAACTTAGCTGGACAGAACGTTTACAACAAGAGCTTCTAATTCATGCAACTAGGAAGTGCGTTTAAATCCATCCTAAACCACAAAGAAAGGCTAAAGATCTAAGCGCAAGGTCTTGGACCCCAATACAACCTCTTTTTCTCTCGCCTCATCCTTTTCGCTCGCCTCACCTGAAATAATGCATTTTGCTGCTCTTTTGGAATTCTTGCAACCAATTTTTGTGTGGACAACATCAAGAAATGCAGAAAAGGGGTTCAACAATGCTGTAGGAGAGATGGATATTTGGCAGATGGATTTTGGTGAAATCCCTCACTGCACTAGGATCCCCTCCCTTCTCATCTCTCCAAACTTTAGCAATCCACCCAAAACAGGGAATCCTCCCTTTCAACTTAGAAAAACCTCAAATAAATGTCCAAAAGAATCCGAAGAAGAAGATTGCCATTTGCACAACAAAAAAAAAAAAAAAAAAAAAAAAAAGACACGAGCGAGAATGCCAAAGAAGAAGAAATGTCGAGGAAGAAGAAGAAGCTGAATGAAGAGGTTATACATGTCGATTGTCGAAGAAGGAGGAGGAGCGGCTAGCAGAGGATACGAACGAGGGGAAGGGATATGCGAACCCGGACGCGAATGAAACGCGAGACGCGGGCATCTTCCTGCGGGAGGCGTCATTCACAAATAAGAAACGTCGTTTTTTGATAAGCTATTGAAACGCGTGAAACAAACAATACGGCGGCGTTTTGAAAAAACCGCCCGCAGTTATAAGCTGCCCTACAGGTTCGATTCTAGCCAGTAAACTTCTTTAGCTAAACATCCACTAGCTCCTCCCGTGGAATCCAGTCTATAACTGACCTTGTACCCTCCTTATCAATGACTGGCTTCGTGCACTTATTTGTAATTAGTCTTATGCTTATTTTCAATGCATTAAATATATTGATAGGTATTTATCTTTTAAAAAAGTCAGCATATTAAGATAAAAAGAAATTAAAGAATTCCAGCAATTGGGCAACTTGCAACGAAAAACAGCTAAAAACCAGACAAAACTTGAAAGAAGTTGATAACAGAAATAAACGTAAATTGTTATCACGTTAGTAAAATAGAGGTGAAGTCATTGCACACTATTTATGAAAGAAGAGCACCATTACGAGACTCACTAAAGGGAAGCACCTAAGAATTAAAAAAATAAAAAAAAGATGGACAATCATCTTTCTTATTTTATCTGTCATTTTATAGCTAGAACGGGATTATATGAGTGTTATATGTTGATCATTTGTGATAGAAAACTCTTTGTTTTATTTTGTTCTTTTAATTTTTAATGAATACTGTGTTAGATAGTTTTGTGCTCACCTGTGAAGACTGCTGTTTGTGAGGATTACGTGCTGATTAGGGCTGTCAAAAAAGATCATTATCGTGAACAACTTGTGGTTGGTTCATTAAGTAGCTTATGCTTGATTTGTTCATTAAGTAAGCGAGTCAAATACGAACAATTCTTTTGAGCTCGATTTATAAACGAGCCGAACACGGACAAAGACTTTTTTGTCCGTGTTTGGCTCGTTTTAGCCCAAAATATTTAAAAAATAATATTTATTTACATCTTTTTTATATTAATTTTTTATATTGTGTTTTACAAAAAATGCATGTAAGAGATTTGGATAGGTATAAATGTAAAAAGTAAACTTTTGGTGAATTGGCTAGTATGTGAGTAAACGACCAAAAGAAAAAAATAAGCCTAAGTTCAATTCCATCTCAAGGTCCCACACTTTCTCTTATATTTGTTTAGGTGTTATTTATGTAAACACATAGGAATTGGTTGGTATGTGAATTGGTTGGTATGTACGTAAATGACAAAATAAAAAATGAAAAAAAAAAAAACCAAAAAAGAAAGCCACGGTCCATTTTCTTTTATTGTTTAGTCCCACGTCTATGGGGGAGGTTTCCTTACCGCCTTGGAGGTGCTTAAATCTAGAGAAATCACTCTTTTGAGCACCATAGCCACGTGTCTTGCAAGGGAGTTCTAGTTGTTGAGCTCCAATTGAGCCGAATACGAGCTTAACTCAAACATTCAAGCTTGAATCGAGTTGAACGCAAACATGCTATTACGAGCCAAACACGAACAAAAAAAAAAAAAAACAAGCCAAACGCAAAGCATTGGACTCGCTCAAACTCGGCTCGTTTGCACCCCTATTGCTCAAAAGTGAAGAGCATTGTTTGTGAGAATTTGTGATCACCTGGAAAGAGTATAGATTTGGTGGGGAATTCCAGCCAGGGTTTGGTTAAGCTTGGACGTAGAGGCACAAAGAGGCCAAACCACATAAAAAAGTTTGGGCCTCCGATCTATTTTTTGTTTGGCACTTGCATTGAGTAACTATTCTAATTATTATAATCCATTTACTAAATAATTATTTTACAAAAAAAAATAAAAAAAATAAAAAACTAAGTTTTAAATTGAAGATCATTTTTGTGCACACTACATTTTTGTTATGTTGGTAGAAAATTAATAAAAATGCTTCTACATGTAAATAACTTCTTTGAATGGCAAATCATAAGTGATGAATGACAATTGAAATTTGCTAAAAAAAGAAAAAAAAAATAAACTGGTCAAGCTAAAATGCAATTGATGAGTAAGGAGAGATAATAGGAAAAGGTTGAGAAGGGTACCTACAACAACCAGGTTTGAAATGAAACAACTCTTAAAAGAGAAATATTTATCTTTATCATTATCATGATTGTTTTATTGTTGAAATTAATTAATTAAAGCAAGAGATCTAAACTATTACTAAATACATTAACAAATTTGAAGAAATATTTTTTCAGAAGATCATTGAAGATGCTAAAGTGACACTCTATTGGTTTATTTTTGGTTTGAGACCAAACATCAACATAGAGATGAAACTTGATCAAATCTTCAAAAACTTAAAAAAAGATAGTTTTGAAACTTCAAAACATAGAGGTAAATTTGTACTTTCCAACAAATCTAGTGGTCTCAATAAAATAACAAATTATTTGCATATTCTAAATAAACATACATTTGAAAGAGTGGTTAAGAGGGTGAGATATATACCTTAATAGTTGTTGAGTTGAACAATAGTCTTAAGATTGTGACTTTGCCCGGGATGTTAATTAAGTACTGAATTATTTTCAAGCATTTGTCCTGATAAGTTCTCTCAAGCATGTTATTTAAGAATTTTAGCATAAGACCGCAAGCAAACTACAGAATTCATGTTGTACAATATGTGAAATAGATTAATTTTTAAGACATCACTCAAATAATTATTCATAAAGAAACCTTCCCACATGCAAATTATTAGTAATGAATACACAAATCACAGATGCAAAATGATATTGTATTAGAAAATATAAATAATGCTACCACATAAAATAGGAATATCAAACACGCCAAATATATTGTTCTATCGGCATCCAACAAGGCAATTTAGAAATTGAAGCAAAACATTAAATCAGGTTTCCTTTATTGCACCAACCTTTACGCACGTTGATACTAAAGAACACTCTCTTTCGCATTTAATGCAAATATATAAATAAATACCACTTTTTGGAATTTGATATACAAATATAAATAAAGTCAAATATAAATAAAGTCTAATTCAAAAAAAAAAAAAAATGTATATACCATAGCTATTTGTAAAGAAAACAAAAAAACGTTAAATGTGAAAAACAGAAAGTCAGTCATTGATTATATTGTGTGCATTGAACAAGAGCTGTGCCAACAAATTTTTTTCAATGAATACACAAATCACAAAGTCAGTTAAAAAGCAAGTTATTACAAGATTAGAAGGGTGAAAAATTGGATGTCAACAATGGCCAACTGGACGTGCATGTTATGCTGTGGAGGAAAATTTTTGCCCTAACAAAACACACATTAAACAAACTCAGTCATGGTGTATTGCACTGGCTGCAATTTTCCACAATCAAACATAGTGAGATTTACAACAACAATAATAGGACGTAGGATCAATTGAGTGAGCCAATATTAAATTTGTGTCTTTTGTAAGTTGATCTTCTTTTCTATTTATTTCTATTTATTGCTCTATATTTTAAAATTAGGTTTTTCCTATTCCCCAACAATACGAAACATGAAACCCTTCAAAAACACATCCAACCATACAGATTCAAAACTAAGAGGATTGATCATTTGAAATACATTAAAAGGGTAGAGGAAATAAATAGGTGGGCAAAAGGGTTAAGTTAAGTACATGGCTAAAGTAAAATGAGTGAGGATTATGTAAAGGTTAATTTATATTTATATTATGAACTACAGGCAAGTCAGTAAGGGTTTTTATGGGTTCAAGAATGGGCACACATCAGGACCGAAAACCGAAATCCCAAGCTTTTTTTCAGGTGAAACTCATTTAATGGATCACCATAGGCTAAAACTCCAGGAAATGACCGCATAGTTACTATATTTTTGGTAAAAATAGCTGGAATGATACCTCTTACATTCCAAAACTACTTTCCAAAGATGTGGTTATATTACATGATTTACCATCCACAATAATTGTATTGGAAATATAAAGTTTTCACCGTGCATTTGCAAATATCATAGAAATAATTTAGAACAGTAAATTTTACTCAGCATTTCGACCACAAATAAATTGCCAGATAAAAGAGACACAGATCTTTGGAGACTACCTATGATGTTCAGTAGGGAAGAACACTAAAAATTGTGATCTCCTCTCCAGTTAACCTGCATCAATTTGCTTTTTAACATGAAATTGTATTTGACTTATTGACCTTTTCTGAGGTGTATATTGGGTGAACAACATTTAAGCATTTGACAGCACTAACGTGAATATTAAACATTAATCTAAAACAATAAGGAAGCCATAATGCGAGATTTGGAGTGGAGTAGCTATTCGTAAAAGTTTGTTAAAATCATTCAAGTATCAGACGGCTTAAAGTTTCTCTATGAACACTTCCTCTTAAGAATAAAACTGCTGATAAGGAAAAAGTTTTCAGGCTTACCTATCATTCAAGAAGGCAATAGACAAGGCGGTCAAAACAGCAGCAACAATAGCAAATGGCTTTCGTATAAATCCAATCCCTGATACGCATACATAGCGCAGATGGGATCATCAGCTCACCAACCAAAATCCAAACGATCAATTATATGATCTCAACCGCAAAGGCATTTTCTTACCAAGAATGAAGACCATCATTATGAAGTAATTCGTCCTGTAGCTAAATACACAGAACAAAGAATCAGTAATTGAGCCCTAAAAGCACATAACAGTCATAAAGAGAACCCCCAAAACAAAAAAAATAATAATAATAACGCATCTAAAAACTAATTAGCAGAAAAAATTAACTAATAAAAGAATAAAACAAATGAGAGAGACGGGATAGACTAACTAGTAGAGGTTGCACTTCAACCGGCTATCCCATTTAGAGGAGGATCTGGGGACGGTGAATCTGGAGAAGAATTCGGTGAAAGGACGTGGAGGCGTAGACCAATCAACCTCTCGAAGGGCGTCGATGAGATCCTCCGTCGTCACGTTTCCCCAATCCATCGACAACGTTATCAGCAAAAGATCTTTCTCTGCGTATTCGATCGAACTTATCTCCGATCACCGGAACTCGAAGACGACGATTTCGGAAAGCCCTAACGAGCTTCTGAACCAGAGCGGGGCGGAGAAATTTTGGGATTGAGAGTTGTAAACTGGTTCTCGAGTTAGCATTTGGTTCGCAATTGGCTTATAGCGTAGCACACGAGAACTTCTGCTCCACTGTATTTACCAGTTTGCCCTCATAAATTAAATTATAAAAAAAATACAAAAAAGATTGACTTGTCTGAGCCCGGGCTCGAACCGGAACCGGGGACCTCTAGTGTGTCGGGGACCTCTAGTGTGTGAGACTAGCGTGATAACCAACTACACCACCCAGACGTTGTGGCGATTAAACAAAGATAAATTATATATTTACATTACTAAATTTTACCTACTTTGGCGAGCCTGTAAACTTCTCAATAATTTGATCCCTAAAATCACCTGGGGGGTTAGATTCTAAATATTAACATTTCGAGTGATCTGTACCTAATTAACCACAATCAGATTCTTAGCAATCTCTCTGCAAACTCTCACAGATGAACAAAATTTCAAACATAAAGTTCACCAATAATCCATGCATGAACACAAGCCATTTCTGAAGCGATGGAAACGATTCACATCTCTTACAACAATCTCTCTATTCGTAATCTTGGAAACAAACTTCGTTAATGAATGGCAGTCCTCACACAACCTGAGGTTCTTCGTGATCCTAAGAACCTCCCCTTGACCGCCATTGATGAGTCCAAAAGCCAGCGCCAGCTTCTCACTGTGACCCAACACAATCTTCTCCTTCTCCTCCTGCTCAAGATTACAGAGAACAACTTTGGTGCTCGGAACATAACCCATCTCCTTCGCCTCCTTCACCAAATGAGTCAAGAAGCCGCGAGCCTGCTCGATCTGTGGATTCAGTTCATCAACAGAAACAAATGAATAAAGCTTCTTCTTAACCTCAATCCAGCTGCAACCTTGCAAAGTCTGCAGCCCCCTTTGGTCTAAGAGCTTCTTCACTCTGTTAACTTCCTCCCACAACTTAGCTTCCGCATAAATATCAGCTAGAAGTATGTAGTTGCCAGCATTCCAGGGCTCCAGCTCAAATAGATGAGAGCAAGCTTTCTCTGCAAGCTCTGTGTTTCCATGTATCCTGCATGCTCCGAGAAGGGAGCCCCATACAGTTGGGCCAGGCTCCATCTCCATCTTCTCTATGATCTTTGCTGCTTCATCTAATCGACCGGCACGGCCGAGAAGATCCACCATGCATGCATAGTGCTCAGATTGAGGCTTCAGACTATGTTCCTTCTCCATTGAGTTGAACAATCTCATGCCTTCTTCTATAAGAGCGCCATGGCTACAAGCACCCAGGACGCTCACAAATGTGACAGGGCTTGGAGAAATCCCCACTCTGATCATCTCTCCAAAAGCCAAAATTGCTTCTTTTCCTAAACCATGAACTCCATAACCTGCAATCATGGAGTTCCATGAAACAACATTTTTGGGAATGATCATTGTGTCGAAGACCCGGCGGCCAAAATCCAAACTTCCGCACTTTATGTACAGCGCAATCAAAGCATTCGACATAGATACGGTGGTATCGAGCCCTCGCCTTAGAACATAGCCATGCACCAGTTTTCCCTGACTCAGAGCAGCCAGCGCGGCACAAGCTTGGAGAACACTGACCATTGTTACAGAATTAGGAGCAACTTCAGGGTTTCTCGTCATCATCATCTCCCTAAAGATCGCCAAAGCATCAAAATGCCTCCCGTTCTTAGCAAAACAAGCAATCATGGCGCTCCAGGAAACCACGTTCTTGTGAGGCATTTTGTCAAACACCTTCTGAGCGTACTTAACCTTCCCAATCTTTGCGTATGAATCAACAAGTGTCGTCGCTACATGTACCCTGGATTCGAAACCATGACGAATCACATGACCATGGATCTGCCGCACATTAAAAAGTACGAGGGACAAATTAAACGAGGAAGTGAGGCATGCCTTGAGCCCGTACGAGTATGAAAAGCTATCAAACTCAACTGCATTGCGGCCCATCTCTCTCAGCAAGGAGAGTGCCTCATCGCCCTCTTCCGCCATGACAAGAGACTTCAACAGAGAGTTCCAAACGAAAATGGTCTTGTCAGAAGTTTTACTGAACACGTTGCGAGCTTCGTCGAGGGAGTTGAAATGGGAGTACATATCGATGAGCTTCGTGGACAGGAAGGAGTCACGGTAGAGCCCGTCGACCGCGAGGCGGCGGTCGATGAAGGGAGCATAAAAGTTGGAATTTTGACGGGTGCATGCGAGAATGAGGAACTCGTATGTGCGCTGCGAGGGGTGGGGCTCATGGCGGAGGAGCTTGAGAGCTTGACGGAGGTTGCCCTGTTTGCAGAGAGATTGGATTAAGTGGTTGTAGTTGTTGGTTGTGGGAATGGGAGAAGGTTTGGTGGAGGCTTGGAACGAGGAATGCGAGCAAAAGATTGATCGTAGAGAGAGGTTATGGGGTGGGGAAGAGGAGGGGAGTTGCGGGTTGGGAGGCTTGGGGAAGAAACGGGGAGCTTGGAGGCGTGAGTGTGTGTAAGAGGTCCCCATTGAAAGGGTGGAAGAAGCATGAATGTATGGAGGTTTCTTTTGGTGTTGCTAATTGTTTTCTTTATCTTTTATAAAAAATAATGTTATTATTAATTTGATGTCAGATATTTTTTACTTAATTTTAATATCTCAAAAAAATAAAAATAAATTATTAAAAAAAAATTAAAGTGCAAAAAGACTCCTACTTCAATAAAGTTGTAGTTAAAATAATTGTTTGATGGTGGTCTCTTAACACTAAAAGCATACATAGGAGCATTGAATTAGGCTAATCAATATGATCCAAATGAGTTCAAATTGGTCTCCATCTTCCTCTTGTGATTAAGAATACCTCACATAAAGATTAACAATAGTTGTTTATTGACATTGCTACTTCAACAAGCCAAGATCCACACCCCACCTTTCATACACATGCCCCCATAATTTGCAAGCACCAAGGATTATGATTGTTAAGTTGTGTGATCAAATTAGCATTATTTCAAAGTCTTGTTAGTGTTGTCATCCCATTGCTTGCATGTTAACTTTTTTATCAAATTGTAAAAAATATATATAGTCTCTTTTTTTGTTCATGATCTCATTATTTACAAGTTATAGTATCAAAAATAATATAATTTATATAACATATAAGAAAATATCAATTTTTATGTTATATTTATCTTCAATTTCAAATGAATGGATTTGCCTTTTATAATCCGAGTTCACAATGGTACTTTTCAACTTCCAAATGCAACGTAGTTTATAAATATTTATGGTCTCTTTTTTATTATTCTTGGATATATTCTTAGAATCCATACTCTTTTATATTGGCAGGCCTCTTAAATGTTGTTATTTATATGGTGATTTGTATTTTAAATATGTATATTAATTTTATGGTGTTGGAGTTGTAATAGTCAATGGTTGTAAAAATGATGCACACGTCATTATTTATTATCTAATTCTTGCTAAGGGATACCTTTTGCCAAAGAATGTTGAGTTGCTCAACTCATTCTAACAATAACAAGATGCTTTTACTTGACAAGCTTGGGCTTGTCATGCAATTTCCTTTTCTTCCATAAATTAATGGAATTTTTGGTTTCTATTAGCTCATATTAATTTATTTGAAACCATAATGTAGTAAGTATAGTTTTGTTCATAACATTATTACAAGAGTAAGGTTAGCTTAGAGTTTAAATGAAGTCAATCACCTTTTTTTTTGGTTAAAAATGACAGGGAGATGACATAATACTTTTTACTGGAAACTTATGAAAATTATCAAACTTCAAAATTAGGTTAATTATTAAAAGAGGATATATTATTGCAGGAGCAATGAAAAAAAATCGTAGTATTTTTTTTTAGTTTTTTTTCATATTTTTGTTGTTTTCTTTTCTTTACAAAGGTAAAGTGGTCTTTTTTGGATTGTCCAAGTGTATTCTTACTTGTCTCCTATATAAGGTAGACTTCTTTAATGAAAAGGAGACTTTTGAATGATCATTTTTATTTCTTCCTATGTGTCAAGTGTGGGATTTCCTCAAGAAACTTATTGTTTGTTTCATAACCAGGGTTCGACCCTCCCTATGGTGTTTGTGGGGCCTATTATCTAATGTCATAAAATGATGTATGTTGCAAAAAAACTACTGATTTCAGTCCCAAGGGGGTTATAATTGTTTTATCAGTGATTTTCCTTATTATGTTGTTATCATTCTGATATCAGAGCATGCTTTTCTTTCTCGGGTTGTTCAACTAGAGTGAGAATTAAGTTTTGAACATCGTAGTTTGGTTCATGGAAGCGTTTGCTAACCCTTTTTATTGTGGCAAGAAATTGCCACTACAGTACTCCCTCTTCTCCTTTGTCCAACCGCAGAAGATTGACGTTTTGTCCATTATTTTGTTAATTTCAGGTTTTAGAAATACCACCTTGTCAAAACCTTGCAAGACTCAATTAAAAAAGGAAGGTAGAAGAACAACAACAAGAAATCTAGCATTTGTAAGAAAGGCTTGTTGTTCTTAAATAACAAAATTATAGAAATCAGAGACAAGAAAATGATCTCGAGGAGGTGGTTGAAGAAAATTCCTTCTTTTGAGAGGTATCCAACTAGGAAGATATCTTTCAATCCACTCCTATAGGAGAAGACAACATTACCAAAATTTGGATTTTGGAATTAAGATTGATATTGCTAATTTCGATGGAAGATTAGACCAGGAAGATTTCATCAATTAGTTACACATGTGTTCAGGTTGGTGGCAAGTAAACTCAAAAGAATGCATCACTTTGGTGTGAGAACTTGAAGAAAACATGACAAAGAAATGGGAAATCAACGATTATAGCATGGAATTAAATGAAGAAAGAATCATAATGAAAATTATTATCCCAACATTGACCATAAAAGTTTCTCTTGAAGTTACATAATCTCCAACAACAAGCCTTAACACTGAAGGAATATAAGATACAATTCAAACACATTGGGATGACTTGCAACCTAACTGAACCGATCGAGCATTCCATTGCTTGGTTCTTGGGGATTGCTAAGGCCAACCATAGGTCGTGTGGTACAAGTACACTCTTTTAGAACCCTCTAAGAAGTCATAGACCTGGCTGTTTAGGTTTTTGGGTAACAAAAATAGAATAAAAACCACACTCTTACATAACTCAACGAGGGAGAAATTGGTTCAATCCATAACTATACAGAATGGGGCTCAACCCGGTGAGAATAAAGGCAAATCAACAACATTCAAGTTGTCTTTCAACCACGAGGAACAACAAAATGTTTGCAAATCCTTCTTCAAAAAGGTGTTTTAAGTGTCATGATTAGGACATATAACATCTAATTTTTCTAATCGCTAAATTATTTTGTTGGTAGAAGGAAACAATCCATAAGGGAAAGAAATACCAAAGAATGGTCATAACAATCTTATAGAAGAGAAGGTGTTGCACACAGATGAAGGGGGCCTTCGTAAGCTCTTTAATGTTGATCCCCTTCTTAATCTATAATGACTTCATCACAATATCTTTAGGACAATATGCACGGTGCTAGATAAAGTTTGTAATCTAATCATCAATAGTGAAAGTTATGAAAATGTAATTTCTACTATAATGATAGAGAAAGTTGAATTGATCATATAACCACGTTCACATCTTTATCACCATGCATTGCTTAAAAAGGTGGATGAGCTCAAAGTCACTAGATAATGTATTGTACAATTTTTTATTCGATGAAAGTTCCAAGAAGAAGTTCAATGTGATGTCATTCACATAAATGCTTGTCATCTATTGCTTGGGAGACCATGATAATATGACCACTAGGCCATCCACAATAGCTATACCATCACCTACTTTTTTGCTAAGATCGAAGATAAGTTACTTTGGTTCCAATGAAGGAGGAGACATGAAACAAAGTTGAACATAATAGTTTGGGTAGTTTGGTTGTTGCAAACAACCACCCAATAACTACAGATCGCAATCTGACTACAACATTTTTTACAACAAGAGCTGAAGGGAAATGAAGTTATTTTGCAAAATACTCGAATCCAAACTAAATAAAAATCTACCTTTGTACTTCTAGCATCTCATTTTTTTTGGAAGTATAAAATATTGAGCTATTTGAGTTAGTTTATAATAACATTTGGCATAGGATTATTTTGATTTTTGAACTGTTGAAAAAAAGCATAGCTTTAACTGCAATTTTAACGAAGTACTTCAATTCAAACCATTGACATATGTCTACTTAGATTGTTGAATCATTGAGTTTTGTCGAACCTACTTGAACTTATTTGTATTAATCTATAATAACATTTGGGAGTTTTTGATTGCCTTTTTTTGCTCTAAAATTGTGTGAAAGCTTTCTGAGTTTACATATATACTTTTGTTGACATTACTAGTATATAAGATTTACCAACATCTCTATTTATTCTGTAAATCATTATTTGTGCTTATTCTATCATTGTTGTCATTTGACTAATAAGCATGCAATGCTATTATACTTTTAAATGAGAACAGTCCCTTTCTTCCATCATAGCTTCACTTTGATCTTCTGCTTTTCTTCCCTTTGAATAACAGACTGTCATCTTTTAGTAGAAGGAAGAGATTAAGTTTTAAAAAGTATAACATCAAATAGGGAATTGATTACAATAAAAGATATGGATGCAAATGGTACATTACTTCATTTTAGAAGAGTACATTAGAGATGCTAGCTAATTATTGCATGCGAATCCGATTTGTTTGGAATGCACTGCTTGATCAAGTACAATTTTCAGATGGTATTGATGACTTTCTTAATATGTTTATGACACTTTATTTAGTTTTTCAAATTTTTTCATCCATTTAATGGAAGGAATATTTATTTTCTTAAATCAAAACTTGATTCTCTTAAATGATACAAGGAAATGTCACTTTATGATTAAGTTCTTATGAAATTCCCGTATGACACTTATTTGCATCTTGACTTTCTCAATTCTTTTTAAGCATCGAGAGTTTTGGGATTACTACATGAACAATTGGTCCCATAGAAGACCTCCATTGACAAAACATTCACCTGCCTTTGATGAACTTTTGAAATAAATTATTGCAATGCCTTGTAATTTTTGTTAAGATTGTACTTGATCGATAGCATACAGGCTTAAATGGAGTTTAATAATAGATTGAAAGAAAGTGGTTGATTTGTAAATAGTAAGTTTTTGATGATCTGCATGTAAATGCCCCAATAAAAATATTATTATAACAAATATAATTATATCGCTATTACTACTTTTAATTTCATTTTTACGCCATATTTAGCTTTAATTTCGGGTCTAAACCCGCCCTAGTCGTAACCCATCCCTGCGGGCTTCCATATTGTCGTCCATCAATGTCAACCGTGAGGGCGGCGACCTCATTGACCGAGCAATCGAAAGAATTTAGGGTTTACTGGGAGTTTCCTGCCATGCGATTTATCACACGTGACATACATTCTGAATTGTAATGTGAACTGCTCTCTTCGCTTTCTTCGCAGCCAGATTGGCCTCTGTGCTAAGCTGAGCTCTTTTTGCAAGTACTTGTGTTTGGGACGAGCATATCTGCCATCCTTCAATTTTCTTGCAAGCAGTTGTTTATGGTTCGCCAAATTTTTTTATCTCGAAATCTGAATGCTTTCCTGAGGCGAAAAAAGTCATTTTTTTGGGGATATCTTTGAGCGTCCTGTTTGAGGGAAGCGATTCATCCCGTACTTTAATGGCGTTTTGTTGCTCGTATATTAGGTTGCGTGCGCAGTCGCCATTGTTTGATTTTCCTGTACGAGCGAGTATCAGTGAATGCCCCGGCAGAGCTGTTTTGATTGAGGCCAGCAGATCTGGATTACAGACAAGGTCAAGTAGTCATTTTTCTCTAGTATTGAAAGAGGAAAAAAATTCTCCTACTTGCTTTGTTGTGGGTTCTAATTTGTTCTTCGAAAAGAAGAGACGCAAATTAGCCGCGAGAAGTGAGTTGCAGCCAATAGCAAGCGCTGACTCTGGTGATTTGAGAATATCTATCAAAGAAGCAGAGAAAGATATTTCTTTGCAGAAGGAAAATGGCTCTCTTGACTTAGAATCATCTCCAAAGCTTGATCTTGGTAATGGAGATGGAGGCCATTCTAGCGGAAATGGAAAATTTCCACCTGGAGGTGGTGGCGATAGCAATGACCATGAAAACAATGATGACAAAGAGGATGAGTTTGGACCTGTTTTGAAGTTTGAGGAGGTGATCAAAGAGACAGAATCAAGGCATGCTGTTCTTCCTTCAGACATGTTTGAGGCTGCAAAGACTGTCGGTATCCAGAAAGTTATTCTGCTCAGATACCTGGAAATGCAGGTTTTTTTTTATGTTTTTGGTTCAATCAAATTGCTTATAATGCCCTGATTGAATTTTAGTTTCATTTAGTTTAAAACCTTCAATTATAATTGTAGGCATCAGCGTGGCCTCTTGGTATGGCTATAAAATCCTGCTCAATTTTACGAAACAGAATGCTTGCTGATCCCTCATTTCTTTTCAAAATTGGAACTGAGGTCAGGGATTATTTTTTCTAATCAATATCAGCCTTTAATAATGCCTTAGAAATCTTGCAAACATTTTGGCAGATTATTATAGATTCTTGCTGTGCAACATTTGCTGAAATTCAAAGGAGGGGGAAGGATTTTTGGGCAGAGTTTGAATTGTATGCTGCTGATCTTTTGGTAGGCTTGGTTGTTAATGTAGCTTTAGTCAGTATGTTAGCACCCTATGCACGTTTTGGTCAAACTTCTTCTGCGAAAGGCTTTTTGGGACGAATGGCACACATGTATGGAGCTCTGCCTAGCAGGTATCGGTTTGCTTTACTAAGTATATGAGAAAATAATTCGATTTGACAATGACAGCCCTTTTTTGGAGAATCTAATTACATCATTAGTTTTTTATCTTTTATTTTTTGTGATTTTAAATTATGTTGTAGTGTTTTTGAGGCAGAGCGACCGGGATTCAGATATTCACTTAAGCAGCGGATTGGAACGTACTTTTACAAGGTTTCAATTATAAGTTGTTTAGCATTTGCAATTTGCTTTAAGTTATTGAATGTTGGCATCAACTATTCTCCTTTTTGCAGAAGTAGATCATTATATGTAATTTGCATGTTTTTGTGCAGGGAATTCTTTATGGGTCGGTTGGGTTCGCATGTGGTATTGTGGGGCAAGGGATTGCAAATATGATCATGACAGCTAAACGGTAATTAGGTTTTGAATTTCATTTCCCTTTTATTCTTATTTGGAAAATTTGCTGGTTCGGCGAGGCAAAAACCATTTGCATTATTGCGAATGAGAAGAAATGGAGGGACTTTATTATTTAATTGAAGGCTCCTTTTGAGGGAAGAAAAAATCATTCCATAATTCCATTTTGTTCAAGCATACCTTATATGCCAAGGATGTTTTTTGTAGATAGTTGCTAGCTGCCTTGATTAATATTTCAGAGAAATGAATGAGCAAATAATGTGAGCAAAACACTGAATTGTTGAGATTGATTCATTATATATTTGTGGCAGAAATTGTGAATGACCGTGCTCCTTTTGATTTATTGTTAGTTTGACGGTAAAGTTTCATACATGTAAATAATGATATTTATATTTGGTTGCCATTGAAACACTAAAAGCTCTCCTAGATAGACAAATTTGTGAGAAACATATGCATCAATGCAAATTTGTTATTAAAAAAAAAAAATTATAGGTGCTTCTTTTACTTTAGAATGTTGATTTGTAAATGAGATTGATACTTCGGGTTTTGATATTTATATTAATACATCTTAATGCCTTACTGGAATGTCAATTTCTCTATTTGATGAACCACATTTTTTAGCTTAATACATATTTTTTTAGGCAATTTTAAAATCATACTCCAGTGCTTAGTTTATATAGTAAATTAAACCAACGATCAATTTAGCACGAAATGATTCAACAACACTCTACAAGGATTATCTTATTTTGACAAATCTAACGACATCAAATTCACTTAATTCAGATGTGTGCAGGCCTCCAAATCAATCTAAACTATCAGTCTAGGATGAATCAACTCAACTCCAGTTGATCAACTGGTCTAGACCGGCTTCCTTGCTTGTGGCTTTATGATGGACACACAGCCTCACTGCAACCCTACAAGTAGCTTTTACTAGGCTTATTAGATTCAATCCAAATAATATTTAAATGACATTGAAACTTCTATTGTATCATGGTCGACCCAAATCCAATCCACGACCCATATTGGTTTGAGCTTTTTGATTGGGTTTCATGTCAACCTAATTGTTCTTATATTTTATAATTTAGCTGTTAAATTTTGCTGTTTTGGGCTGTTAAAATGAGATAACAAAAGAGTTAACCCAGGCAGCAAGAAATTAATCTGTCTTAATGTTATTATATATAGACTATCAGATATATAATAGAAAATATTATAAATGATACATATATTAATTAAACATATATGCATGCATTTATTAGTTGTTTTGAGTTTTAACTGGTCAATCTCAATCTATGACCCAACTCAAACTATGCTAATCAGATCAATTCATAATTTCCAGTTAGGTATGCTCCTATCCTTCTAAGGTAGCATTCTTTGCAACTGAGTCCAGCATGACTCATAAATATCATCTGCCATTTCCTTCTAGATTTACACTGCAACCTCGCTTCCGCTTCATCTAATTTCTTCAACCATCTCCTTTTATGTTATATTACCCTCTGTTCTATAACTATCTCCTTCATTACCTGCATTATTACTCTACTTGCATTGCTGTCATCCCTACATCTATATATGTATGTTGCAGCGCCATTTGCATCGCAACTGTCTCTTTCAAAGTCTACATCACAAACTTGCCTATGCCATGGCTGTTGTCATCTCTAGACGTGTCACGACTTTCCTCGTGACCTAGTGAGCTTTTTAAAGACATTTTTCAAACCTACTTGTCTTGTGGTCATTAGCTCATCCAGGCTTGTGTTGCAACTTAACTTGCACCGCACTTGTCTCCTTCAAGATATACATTGAAATCATGCTCATGTAGTAGCAAACACAATTTTGCTTGCACTGTAGTCATTTTCTTCATGTCCTATGCTGTAACCGTACTTGCACTGCAACTTCTAGATTAGGATCGCAGCCATCTCTTTCTATGCCACGTTGAAACCTCTCTAGCATTATAGTGGTCTCCTTTAAGATCCTTGTCATAAATCTGCTTGCAACATTGTAATGGGCTCATCCAGACGTTTTGGGTCACATGCATCACCTTCAAAGTCTACATCACATCCAAACTTGCGTCTCCATTTTTCTTGTGCCACAACTTTCTTCTTAAGGACCTATGTTAGAATCTTGTTTGCGCCATTGTCAGTACCCCATCTAGACCTTTGTTGCAACCTAGCATGCGCCACACTTGTCTCTTTCAAGGCATACGTTGCAACCATATTTGTGCCATATTCAGTAGCTGCCATTTTCTTCAAGGCCACCTCCGTTTATGTTGCACCTCTTGCCACAGCATGTACTTACAATATTTACAAGTGAAGTGTGTGAGTATCCTCGCCCTCTTGCTTTTTATTTTTCTAATCGCTCAATGGGCATCTTGTTCTGCAGTCTCTCTAATTACTTAGAGGTAATTAACCAACCCTCACCCCAATTTTTTACAGTTAGTGGTAGATATCATTTGGGTGTTTTTATTTCCTAAGGATTTTCCATGTAAAAAAAATAATGTATCCTTTTTAATCTTTCATTTGATTATTTGTGTGGATGTTCTTAAAAAAATAAGTTGTTTGGGATTTCATTGTCGCTCGAGTGCCTTGATATTTTCTGATAGTTTCTTATCATTTATGGACTTGCAATCATGACATTTGAAGGTCATACGTGCACCATGATCTCAAATCCATTGTTTGGAAATTCATGATTATCCATCCTTTTCTGCTCAATCTTTGTTGAAGGATTATTTTGAGAACATCCTAGAAATGAGCTATGATGACTTGTGAAGGAATAGATTAAGCCCGGGCTATAATCTTGTAAAGATGTTCACGTCAACATTCCGAGTGTAGAGGCCCATGTAATTCCTTAAATGTTTTATTTCTTTTGTGCTTTCATTGCATTATCTATCCAATTTGTTAAATTTTAAATGATGGGCTAAGGCTGTTTGTTAAGATAATTTAGCTTAAATATTTTTTAATTCTTACTAAATAATCATGGACTTCAGCTTTAGAAACTTAAGATTAGGTAAATTTTTAAAATAGAAAGGTGAATCATGTACTAGTTATAACAACCAACAGACGTCTTCTGGAAGAGTTTAAAACTTACTAGAATTGTTGCTATTAATGATATATATTTCCATGGCTAACTTTGTTAGTAGGTGTTTACACTGTTGTTTTCTCCGAGCCTTACAGTTATATTGAGATTTAGATCCTTTACCTGTTTTATGTTATACAGTATTCTTATATTGATTTTCTTTATGTCTAATGTTTGTTTTTTTTCCTTTCAGGAGTGTAAAGAAATCTGAGGATGACATACCTGTCCCACCTCTTATCAAAAGTGCAGCTCTATGGGGTATGGCAATATAGGTCCTAAAGATTTTATTGCTAGGCTCGGCATCCCTTTATAGCAGTCATCTCATTATTTTTTGTTTCTTGTTTTTGGATATGCTTATATGAGCAAACAATCTTCAAGGGGCTTAACTGTTAATTGGGATGATTTACACACTTTCAGATTTGTCTAGATAGATGAAATGTTATGATTCAAAGTTTGTTTAGATTACTCGCTAAGAAATTTGTTGAAATACACTTGCAATTTCACTTTCCTCTTAAGATTTTGATTTTATTTGTGAATTTGCAAGTCAAGAAATTAGGAAGTAAAAGTATATTCAATTTCAGTTTGATTGGTAGAGATAAATTTATTAGAAGCCGCATCATGAGTTAAATCAACTTATTTAATTGGGCTTGTATGTATTTTTTTATCCGTTTATGTTTTTTGAATCTGATCGGCTTGTTATGAGTTTATATTCATTTACATCGTTTCAACCTGTCAAAATTTTATGATTTTCAGGTGTGTTTCTCGCCGTTTCTTCAAACACTCGCTACCAAATAGTCAATGGCCTGGAAAGATTGGTCGAATCATCACCTGTTGCTAAAAGCGTCCCGCTTGTTGCTATGGCATTTACTGTTGGCGTTCGATTTGCTAATAATGTTTATGGTGGCATGCAATTTGTTGATTGGGCTAGGTGGAGTGGTGTTCAGTGATCATTGGTATGTTTCTTCATTCTACCACTCTACTTGGTATTCCATATATTTATATTTGTTAGAACTTATATTAAAAAATAATCTTTTCCTGTTAGAGGTTATGATGATTAAATTTATTTCATTAGATTAGAGTTATTTTCTTTTCTATTTTATGCTTTATGTTGTTTCCCTTATATCCAAGTAATTAATATGAATTGATTAATTAGAGATATAGATGTTATATTTTTTTTTTTTTGTTATTTCTTTTTTATTGTCTTTCCTACTCTAGGATTCATGTAAGGGTTATTTATACCCTATTTCTTATCAATAATATTATTCCGCATTGTTTTAAATTTTAACATGATATTAGAGCCAAATTCACTATCCTAGCTGCCAGTCCTTCCTCCAGAGCCGCCAGACTCCCTTTCTACCATCCTCCCTGTAGGAAGGGACTGTAGGAATGGAGGGACTCTTTCTCTTTTAGGGATTATTTCTATATCTTCATAATTACAACGTGATCCTGGAGGAAACACCGGGTTCGGTGGACCGACCTCCTCAGTCCTTTTTTTTTCCTCGACAACATAGTCGTGTAGTTAATGGTTGACAGGGAAAGCTAGAGATAGGAGAGACAATGAGAGGTCTTGGAAGAGGCGTCGCCGACTTAGAGATCTGCCCGCGGCAGCCTAGTTAACAATGGGAACCTCGCTGGGTTGCTCGACTTACGGGGAATGTCTTGTGTTGGCAGCAAGAGATGGTGACCTTACCGGCGCTCGCATGTTGCTCGAATTTAACCTTTTCCTTGCCAAGTACTCGACCTTTAGCAGCTCGCCACTGCAAAGGGGCACAACGATATAGTTTCAATGTTACTAGACAATGGGGCGGAAGTAAATTCGAGGAAATATTGCGGCCATATGATCTTGATGAAAGCTTGCTAGCTCAGGCACTGGGAGGTCATGTAGACATTGTTGCTCTATCGGTGCAATGTTAATAGTGCGGACTAGCTGAGTGGTTGGACGACGCTGCACTTGACACTGGGGGATGGCCATGTTAGGTGCATAAGGCTTTTGGGTTGCTGGCTTTGTTCCCACTCTATTCGACGACCGCTTCTATTGAGGTTGAGGATAGAGATAGATGTAGCTAGAGCAATAGCCTTGATTCATCTTTGGGACATAGAAATGATTAGATTGCTCTGACAAGATTTATTAGCAAGCCAGCTGATGGTGGTATCACTGCAGTTCACATAGCTGATGGCTATGTTGAGTGCGTTCATCTTTTACTTGATTTGCATGCCCATGTTACCACCGTGACATTTCATTATGGTTCTTTGATCAATTTGATCGGAGCGTGAAACACCCATTGGCATTGTGCAGCCTGTAGAGGGAATCTTAGATGTTGTCTGTTACTCCTGTTTAGAGGTTCTAGGCCGATTAACATTAAACTATAATGGATGGATTCTGGTCAATGTTGTCAGGATATGGGGCCAACATGCACTTGAGCATTTACTTTAGGATTCCAGTCGATGTTGACAGAGACAGAGAAAGAGACTGCTTCATCAAGTGGAGAAGTAGTGAATGAGTGTGTGCCTTGAGTTGCTTGCTCTATCGATGGTGAAATAGAAGGGGAGCAGCGAAGATTTAGGTTTAAGGTTAGATTGTTTTGCGTATGAATTTTCTAGTGAGAACCAGCGAGCCCTTCATGTGTTTAATTCGTGAATTTCTTAAATAGATGAAATTACCCTTCAAAATGCGAAATTAGCTGTTAATTAAACGAAAAAATTTATTTAGGACAAATTCAGAATAATTTTTAATTGTTGGCCTAAATTGAAACATTTTAAAACTTGGGGACTAAATTGAACACTTTTAATAGTGGCGGGACTATTTTGAGCTTTTTCTCTTTATATCTATATATATATATATTAAATAAAAAAAAATTTGAGTTGATCTCGAGCCAAGTCGAGCCAATCCGTGTGGTTCGAAAAGTTAAATTCAGGATTTTAGCTCATAACTCAAGCCCGCTTCAATTTGATCTTGATCGGAGCCCATAATTTGAACCAATTTTCAAGTGATTGACAATTTTTGAGCTAAATTCTCTGCCCTAATCACTGCTGATCACTTCAGTGACACCACAAACTATCACTTCCCCTAGCCATCACAAGGAAGACATTATCGGTTGCTGCCATTTTCAATTGCTACTATCTCTGGCAGCTGCCGGCGAACTTCGCTGATTGCCACCACTTCTAGTGGATACCCTGGAGACTGAGTTACCGCCAAGAAGAACAAAAGATGGAGTTCTGCTAATCGAGTTTCAAGAAAACTTATCAGTCAAGCTCAAGTCGGACTCACTAACCGAATTCTAAGAGGACTCGCCAACCAAGTTCGATGCACCAACCCGCCAGGAACAAGGGCTTAACCAGCCAATCGGAGAGGGAACATCCACTATGGTCAAAGAGAATGCTACTCTAGGCTATGACTAGACTCGTTGCACGATCTAGCATAAGCAATTGCTCATTTCCAAAGATTGTTTTTCGGGTAATTCATTTTGCTTCGAGATCAGTTAACTATATGATTAATCAATCAAATTTTTTATTACACTCATCTCAAAGTAAATTTAATTTCCTTAAAACTCATCATAACTATATTTGAGTCCAGTATTTTGACCCAATTTCTCTCCATTATAAGAGGCCAAATGTTGCTAATATGGAAGCAAGTGGGGAACCAACTCTTGCAGGGCTCTATTTTTTTTCATTTCTAGAGTGAAAATAGCCTAACACAACAAATTAAATTTTGCATTCATGCCCAGTTTGAAGACTGTTTTTGTCATACCAATTTTTAATTTCTCTTTCCTCTTACACCCTGTAATAATTTATGTTTAATTCAACACTTACAGGGATTTTTTTAAAGAGGAGGGCACTTAATAGCCTGCAGGACCTTGATTTGTAAGGCATGAATCCTTCAGGGACATCGAGCTTGCTTGAGGGACTATTGCTTTAGATTCAATAAATAAATTTCATTAGTAATCTAATTCCTGGCACTTGATTTTGCTAAGCTTTTATGAAAGGTTTTCCTGCCTGTGCAATGCTAATATTTTGGGTGGATTATTTTGTTTATATTACAAGGTGTTATATGCTCTGGTTTTGCTGCTGATGTTGACACACTGAACCTCTGTTGTTCATCATATGTAAATCTTTTACTTTTTACATTTTTACTCACAAGATAGTTCATGCAATAGGTAAGATGGCAGAAAAGTAAAAATTGAAATTTACTTATAATTACCAAATCTTGGATGTGTACAACTCATGCAAAAATTAAAATCCCCATTATGCAAAATCTCCCACAGTACCAAATGCATTGAACACCACAGTATAACCCATATTATTTAGATTAAAAAAACCTTAATTTATAATTAACATAAATATAAATATCAACTAATCCATTCCCCACATCATCATTTCCTCCTGAATCATATCAATGGGGGAGTATTCATCCCCGGTCGAGTCATCAATCTTGGCATTGAACCACAATGCCGGTCCATAAACCGCGAACCGGCCATCGAACCCAAGCACTGCCACATACTTCCCTTTATCTCCCTTCCTATTACTACTCCAAATCCTCTGGCTTCCATGCTTTACCATCAACTCTCCATTATTCTCCAGCTCCAAAAAGCAAGTTTCAGCCTTAGTATTTGTTTGCCACAAAGTCCTCCCACTCCTAGTGCTATTTATCACCAAATTACACTTACTCAAACCCAACTCATACTCTCTATACTTCAACTTCTTCCCCATTAAGAGCTTTTTGCCCGAATGTAGCACGTAGTCGGTCTGGACCGCCGAGTTTGGTCGACTTGCTGGGCCACGTTCCTTTGGGTTGCTGCTGATCCATCTACGTGATCCGTAGATTCCAAGCTGGCCGGTTGAGTCGAGGATGAGAACATATTTGCCTTTCTTTGCCTTTTTGGCACTTGTCCATAAGATATAATGGACGTCACGACGGACGACGAGCTCGCCATTCTGCTTGAGAGCGGCGTAGCAACTCCGGTCGCCGTCGTTGGTGGAGTTGAAGGTGGAGTTGGTGGTCCATACTAGCTTGCCGGAACGTTGGAGGACGAGGTCACAGTTGGGTTGCATGGAGAGTTGGTGGGGTCCATTTGTAAGGTTTTGACCGGGCATGAGGACTTCACCATTGTAGAGGACGTAGTCACTAGAGGCGCGGGGGAGGAGGAGGAGGATGATCGGAGTGAGGAAGAAGTGTGCCATTGTGGGGTTGGCCTTTCATTTTGGTTTGGGTGAGGGGTATATATGTGGGGATATGTGAAGTTATTGGAATGTAAGGGAGAGTACGCTGCATGGAGGTTAGAATCAATGTTTAAAATGCGAGAAGAACAGAAGGTATGGGACTCGGAGCTTCTAAGAGATTATATACATATGTATATATATATATATATATGTTAAAT